TTCTTTCTTTCTTTCTTTCTTTCTTTCTTTCTTTCTTTCTTTCTTTCTTTCGGCAACTGGACTTTCTTTTGCTTGAAGACATTTTGATTCTCATCCAAGAAGCTTCTCCAGAAGAAGTCCAGTTACCTTTTGAAAGAAAGCATCTTTGGGACAACCATGACCTGGATGTCTGAAAATCTGGGAACTTTCTTCTTAGAATATATATATTCACATATATAAGGGAGTCCTTGATTGGCTTAGTTTCCTGTGCCCCAGACACACACAAAAATCCGTATGTTCAGATCAAGAGCTCTTGTGAATACAATAAAATCTAGCAGTCTTACCTTCACCTGAAGAGCCTGAAAGATCTATGATGACGTACACTCTTCCTTCTGGCTCCAAATCAATCTGCAAGAAAAGGAAGCAAATATTTATTATTAGAATTCCACTGTGTTCTTTTCATAGGGTGTGTTGTTTTCCTGAGAATTCAAACAGGATTTTTAATCCACTCTAGGCAGGCATTGGCTTAAAGAAATTGGAGAGAAAAAAGGAATAGATGCCATTGAAACATTATAAACCATCCTTAGATTAAGTAAAAAGAGTTACTGTAAATATTTAGCTACATTTCTGGATTTGGATCTCATAAGACCATTTACTTATTTAGAAAATAAGTAAGGATAATACTTCAATTACTTCAATGTATTGCTTTACCTGTTCCAGAACTTTAGAGGATACAATGCAAATTTAAATAACACAGACTATAATATGTTAAAATAATGAAAACTATAGATGCCAAAATCTCATAATTTTGTCTGTTTCAGAGTGGTTCTCAGAGATCTGCTCAATCTTTTATATATATATATATTCATTCTTAAGTTTTCGCGGGTACTTACATGTATGGCATTCAGCTTTGTTCGGGTATTTTCCCACGTCATGGTAGTTGTGCTTTTAAAGTTGTAGCGACGTTTCAACAGAATCTCATCTGCCATCTGCTGAAACGTCGCTACAACTTTAAAAGCACAACTACCATGACGTGGGAAAATACCCGAACAAAGCTGAATGCCATACACACACACACACACACACACACACACACACACACACACACACACAAATGCAGGATGGGGCGAACTTTTTCTATTGGAACTGATTAAAAAAGAGATTATAAGACTCATGCAGGGATTTTCACATTTCTACAAATAAGATATGTTTGGGCTCATCCCTGATGGACTCTGCAAACATCTGTTTGCTTCTACAAGTGCTAACTTTTTCCTTCTAGGATAATGGACAGATAATTTCCACCAAATATTACACATGAGGGATGTAAGTATGCATTAGTATACTGCTTTGTGCCAATACTTGATAGATGTCAGAATGAAAAAGGCACACTGTAAAAGTATCTTGGGAACAACATAGACAAGGAGCAACTAAGGAAAACATATCTTTAAGTGCCTTGTGTTGGCACACAGTTGGTAGTCTCAAAATATTTTTTCCCCTGCTGACCTTGGAGATTTTGATAGGACATGGGAAACATTTGATTTATTATGTACAGTATGTTATGGTTATTTTTCAGGTGTTTAACACAAGACGTGTGTGTGTTTGTCATCAATATATAGTTCTTGCAAGGTGCAGCCAATGTCTCAAAAATATTTCTTTATTACTATTATTTTATATCAGGAGTAGACATTTTTAAAGCTAGTGTGATCTACTAACTCTAAGGTTCCCCAACCAGAACCAAATGGAAAACAAAGCCTTAGAAGCTAAAATGAAAGAATGAATAGAGTATCACATTCCTAGATCAGCATAGGCTCATTCCAAACAGAAATAAAAATACTCAGGTTTACAACAAGTTTAAAAAATCAGTAAAAAAAATAGAAATACAGGTAATCCCTGACTTACAATCACAACTGAGTTCAAAATCTTTGCCGCTAAGTGAGAAATTTGTTAAGTGAGTTTTGCCCCATTTTATTATTTTTCTTGCCATATTTGTTAAGTGAATCACTGCAATTGTTAAGTTAGTAACATGGTTGTTAAATGAATCTGGCTTCCCCATTGACTTTTCTTGTCAGAAGGTTGCAAAAGGGGATCAATTGACCCCAGGACACTGCAACCGTCAAAAATATGCACCAGTTGTCAAGGATCTGAATGTAAACTACATGCTACATGAATGTAAGCTACATGCCTATATGGATGCTGTAATGGTCATAAGTGTGAAAAATGGTCTTAGGTCGCTTTTTTCAGTGCTGTTGTAACTTTGAATGGTCACTAAATGAACTGTTATAAATTGAGGACTACCTGTAAACATAACACATAAATAATAATTTTACGAACAGTTCTGTTTTTCCTTTGCTACCTGAGCAAAGTTCTTAGCCAAAATTTAGCCATGAAATTGCTTAGCTTCTGTTTCTATCAGTTCTTTCTAAACGGCTACTGAACATTTGCTTTGCATAATCTTTCAGCCAGGAAAAAAAAGGTGTTTTACCAGCTGCTAGCTGGCTAGAGGCTTTCGTCACCTCTGTTGGAGTGGAGACACTGCTTCTCCTTCAGTTTTTAGAGTGCAATAAAGAGGAAAACAAACTATTCTGAAACCTGCCTCTATTCAGTCAGGATGTTCTCAAGTTATAATCCAGTTCAAATCCACAGTCCACCTGTATATATAGCAACATAAAATGGTGGCGTAGAGAGCATAGAGAATGGCTTTGGAGGACGACGGAAAGAACTGTTATCAAGGCGATGATCAGAGAATGTGGCTTAAATCAATTTCAAAAAAACAATATGAGAAAACACATTAGACAAATCCCTCACTAATTCACATGAAGATAAAGTGAAGGAGGAAGGAATTTAAAATTCCTGCAAGATTCTGTCTCTATACCTGTTCTAATGAAATTTATTTTTAGACTGATAAGGCATTGGTTTCTTAGTCTGTTCCAACCTATGGGTTAATAAATGAAGACAGGAATTAGAAGCAGAGGGTGAAGGATGCCAAGCACAGACCAAAGAGTTGTAAATTACCAGAACAGTACTAAATATTTGGATCAAGAGGCATATATCAATTATTTCTTGTCTCTCTCAGGGCCTGCCTTTTCTTACTATATTATAATTGTTTATATGTCTTTTAAGACAGCGGCCCCCAACCTTTTGAGCACCAGGGACTGGTGAGAGATTTTTATGCAGACCAGAGGAGCATGGTTTCATGTGCTGCCTGCATCCTGTAGATGGGGATTCACTTGTTTGCACCGACTGGTTTCTGGCATGCCACGGACTGGTGTCAGTCCATGGACCAGGGATTGGGGATCCTGTTTTAAGGGATAGCATGTCTTGTACTGAATGAGATGGAAACTATTTTTACATTCTCTAAAGTGATATTCATTTGTTTCTTGAATACATGACATCCGTTGTTAAGTCATGGTTGGTCAAGGAAGGACCAATTGTTAACAGTTATATAAGCAAAGCTAATAAAAACAGATAGAATTGGCCAAAGGAGCTGTATCAGAATGAAAAGAGATAATATTTTTTTCTTCTAGAATATCTAATTGTAGTTAGATATCATGTTGTTGTTAGTCGTGAAGTCATGTCCGACCCATCACAACCCCATGGACAACATTCCTCCAGGCCTTCCTGTCCTCTACCATCCTCCAGAGTCAGACCTAGAGGAAATCAACCCTGACTGCTCTTTAGAATGCCAGATCCTGAAGATGAAACTCAAACATTTTGGCCATCTAATGAGAAGGAAGGAAACACTGGAGAAGAGCCTAATGCTGGGAACAATTGAGGGCAAAAGAAGAAGGGGACAGCAGAGAATGAGGTGGCTGGGTGGAGTCACTGAAGCAGTTAGAGATCTAATTGTAGGCCCCTAAAGTCCGCAACATTGTCCTTGGATTCCCTGAGTCATTGTACCTCTATGATGGATTGCAAATATTTTAATAGCATATTGTCATTCAAGTCTAATCTGGCAGTGAAATCCCTCACTTTGAGAGGATGGGAAGTCAGCTGAACATTATTAAAGTAGATCTGTGCTTTTGACCAGATTTGTATGATTCAAGAGTGAGGGTTGCTATAATCCTCAATATGCAAACCACTAATTGCCAATGAAACAAAAACAGCAAAAGGCAATATAAATTCTGAACATAAGATGACTTGTTCAGACTTTCTATCCAGTAGTATACCAGGAGAGCAGTCACAATGATTCCAGTAATCTTGCAAGTCAACTAGAATTCGGGGGTACCAAATGGAGTATGTCATGCCTTGAAGTGGAACCACCTAAAACTATGCCATCCATAATAGCAGCCAGCATTCTTAAAGAGCACTCTTCACTCTGCAGCAGTCTGTTCATATACTCACAGACACATAGTTTAATATGGGAGGAAAATGTGCAGACAGAGCTTGACTCATCCTTGGGGCAGTAAAGGAAGAGCAAAGATGTATTCCCTGTTGAAGACCAAGAAATGAATGATTTACATTATGAAGGTTGGCTGAATCATTATGTAAATGAGGTGACTGGATATAATTAGGCTCATATCAAGTCAGGTTGCATTCAGCTGTATCTTCAGCATTTAAGCAGGGCACAAGGCAGACAGGACTGGTTCTAGCAGAGAGAGCTCAGGAAGGCTTCAGTGGAGAGTTTGAGTGCCATCATTTACATACTAGGAATGAGGTAACTCGCAGCTTTTATACATGAGAAGAAAAAATGCTCTGCCTGAAGCCAAATTTAATGCCTGATACATTTTTGAACCATATGCAGAAATGAGCTGCATAGACCAAGCTATATCCAAGTTTCCTTGGATTTTACTATTACCATTGCTACATAATTAGGATCCCAAAATCTTTGGGCAAAAATCTCCAAATCACCCAGTGAATTGATAATCAAGCTTATCTATCTCCCCTCCACCTCACTTTGTGTCATAAATAAACAGTGTTAAAAAATATAAGACAGTCTTTTTTGCTGTCTGGGTTTTAACTCAAGTACTTGGAATCTAAATTCCCAGTTAAACTTTCTTCCATTTCTTGTTCATTCAGCAAATATTTTTGCCACCAAAGGATCCCTAGCAGAATTTGAAAAGCCTCTACAGTAGAGAAATATGTTTTAAACAAAGCATACAGTAGAGAAATATGTGTTAAGCAAAGTTTAAAAGCGTAATGTAAGAGAGAAAATAAATCATTTAAAGCATATCCACATATGCTCCCCTTATGCACGAGAAATATAAACTTTATAAGACATATCGGTAAATACAGAAGCAGATTGGCTAGGCCAGCATGAAACTCATAAACATACAGAGTGAAGGATACCATTCATGTCAGCATGTGTCAATACCCTTCATACTCACTGTCACAAAATGTTCAGCAAAGATGGGGATTTTTCCCATCAAAAGAATGCTACAACAGCTCACATTCTGTGGCCCATAATGGAC